GGGTGGGGCCATGAGCACCATGAGCTGCCTGAACCCTGGACACTCAACAAAGGAGAAGGGCTGGCCATCCAGAGCAAGCATTTCCCCAGTGCTGTAGGTGACCTCGCTTGCCTTGGGAACGTGCCCCCCTTTGTCTCCACCTTTCCCCCACTGGTCCAGGGTGGCCTGCCTCTACTTCTTGGGGACGGGGGCTTTGGAGCAAGAGGGGGACTTCTTTTTGGGCACACTCCAACTGGTGCCAGGCTGAGGAGGAACAAGGGCAAGGGTGTGCTGCCTCCTGAGATGCAGCAGCATCGCTGTGGTGGTGAAATGTTTCTCATCCTTGCCCTGACTGATCCGCTTTTGGCAGTACTGGCAGGTAGCATACCTGGGATCATCTGCCACATGACACTACCCACCTGCTTCTGGGTTGAGGGTGGGGATCCTGCCTTATCCCCTTCCTCACCAGGCAGAGGTACAACAACAGGAGGAGCTGAGCCACCTGCCCTCACAACCTGCTTTGAAGTGCCTTCCAGAGAAGGAGACCTGCCTGTAAAGAAAGTCTGAGGGGTGTGGAGCACAAACTCAGATTCCCCCTCCTTCCCCAGTATTTCCTTGGCTATGGCACTCAGGCCCCTTGCTTCTAGATCCAGCTCCTCCTCTGGCACTGGAAGGCTTATGCTAGGAACTGACATTGGAGTGGAGAATGTCATGCGGCTGCTGGTTGTGATTACTAGTGGTGCTGCAGGTGCAGACACAGCTCCCACCTCCTTGCTCCCAGTAGCAGTAGCACACTCCTTGCTGCCAGGAAAGAGGGTGCGTCTATGTTACGGGTGGGGGGTGGGGGGGCAGAACTTGCAGCAGCGCTCCCTCTGCCCTCTCTCCCTTCCCTGCCATAAGACCTGGCACCTGCCTTCCAGGATGCTTCATGTTGTTTGGTGCACTGCAAAATGATTGTGTGTCTGTGTGTAATATATGCTGTGCTTTCCTGCATAGTGCTGACGCACTGCCAGGGAAAACACAGACTTTTTTTTGTGGGAGGGAAAGAAAAAACACTAACAAGAACAAATAAGAGATTTTGGGGCAAGAATAGGCTGAAAGGAATGGATAACAAGAGGGATTGTAGGCAAGGGTAAATAGGAAAGGACTGGATAAAACTTGGTGGCCAGAGACTATCTGCTACCAAGCCAGAGCCCTTCAGATGCTGCTGCTGCAACAGAGAGACAGACATACAGCTCACAAAAGGCACACAGATGAGTTCACACACAGCCTCCTATGTTGTGTCTATGCACCTCCCTCAGAGCACTGTGATTGGAAGGGAACTCAGAGAAAGATCACAGTCACTGGCCAGCTACAGATGTCAATATCAGAGCAGTCACCCGCCCTCCCCCTCCCTCTTCTCAGTTTCTGTTTCCTGCATGTCTGCTTTCCAAATCTCTGAATCTTTTCCAAATTGATTAGGAGGCTTTGATTCAATTTGGAGTTTTTATGGGTCTCTCAATTCGATTCAGATTTGTAGATTTGGCTGCCGAATCAGGCCAAATCTCCTCTGAATCGAATTGGCTACTGAAGCTTTGCACAACCCTAGAAGAGAGTCCCTGCTAGGTAGGGAAGTGGGCTTTAGGAAGAAGGATTATTTTTGGGGAATAGTTGAGGCAAAGCCAGCACTCTGAACAGGAAGACGATACTCTTGGATCCTTAAATATGGAGGTTTATTCATTGCAGCTTTGGTATTGCTCTTATTGACAATAGATTGGATTGCTGTGGTACAGTTGGGAAAGTTTGCATACTTCCACTCAAGTCTTTGATTTCAAAATAGAATACTCACTCTCCTCTAGGAGTGGGGTTGGGAAACAGGTTGCCACTGACTCTCACTTCTGAAATATTCTCAGAAGAGTCAAATGGGCATTGGTTATGTTATTACATATAGCTCCATTCTTTTTGTAATAGCCATTGGTTTTTGGATATGCTGATTTAGATTTCTGCTCTAAGAGCTGTCAGACTATACCTGTGTAGTCTGACAGCTAAACAGGATTAATCTATGACAGAAAAAAAAGTTTCCACAGAAATATCTTCTTTCTTGGAAATTGTCTTTTTTGTGTTAGTGTAAGAAACTTTAAAAGTTAATGCACTTAATCCGGAACAATGAATCAGAAACTGCTGCATGTATGGACAGTCCTTACTTCCAGATGTGAAAGGGATTCAACACCTAATTTTTAGGGACTCTATCCTTTGCCAAAAATTGGTCTCACCAACACATACTGAAATTTGTTTTGAGAAAAGAGTTTTGAAATAGCACTCTTGCAAGTTCAAGTTTCTGCAAGTACCGTGATTTTATGCGTGTAACAGAGATTTAAATTCTTTTACTATTAAGTATCTGTTTCTTCTAAGAAGCCCAGATTTAAGCCAAGAGTTCTTCAACAGGAGAATGGTATAATTCTGAAAATACTTGAATCCATGTCAACCGTGCATTTGGAACTTCAAATATGTACACTTTTCTCTTTGATTGTTATCAAGTCTTCCCTTCCTTACCAACAGGATGTTTTTGAAGATTCTAAAATAATATGTCTATTCATACTATGAATATTTGCAGTTTTCTAGGTAGGTTTGTTCTGACAATTGGTAAAAAAAAGACTCCTATACCTCTTACACTGGCTGTAATTTTAAATATTTCATTTACGCGGAGTCATCTAATCTTCATTAGCCTATGCTTTTTCTCTGACATACCATTACAGCAAACTAGAAATAAGAATTTAGTTATGTATTTAAGAAACTTGTCATTCCATCCCTGAGGAAGAACTCCCTACCTCACCTTCTTTGAATTAGAACAGGATTGGTTTTCGAACCACTTTGTAGGCATAATGTCAGTCAACTATCAGGGCTGCAAAGAAATTTCCCCTCCACTGCTAATTGTTTATTTTATTTTGGCTGTGGGTAGGTTAATGCTAAAATGTATGATGTTGCAACTTAGAAGGTACTCCATGCAGACACTTGTTCAATGACTTATTTTCTTTATAACTTGTCATTATAAGCAACTTAGGAGAATTCATGCCTTAAAGAAGAGAAGGAAGAGGCTTAGGGCTCCTAATGCACGGAGTCCATCTGCCCTAATCATCATGTCGTAGGATGATTCTAGCCTTATACCATGTGGACTGGGGGAAGAGTAATAAATTGACAGTAGCCCTCCATTAGAGCAAACAACTGTAGGGTAAAGGATAACTGCACTGGATGAGCTATTGTCAAATAGTTCCAAGAGCTGTTAATATGTTTGCAGCATAATTAAAACCACTTTCCAGTCTAGTCTCATCCTCCCTCAACTCCAGTGGTGTCTGGGTCACTCATTGACAGTGTCCAGAATAAAACCTAGAATGTTGACTCTGGGTGAGATCTTTATTTTAGTTAATTCCAGTTAAGAAGCAGGGATTTACTTAAGCAACACCAGATGTTAAAATAGGTGTTACTTATGATTAAGAAATTACATCTCTGAAAACTGCAACTCCCCACTCACGCCCCCCCCCAAAAAAACAACCCCAACAAAAAGTATACAAAAACCCCCAAATTAACTTTAAGAATTGGGATACTGTATAATCTTTAGATATCACTTATATTTTATTAATAATACTTTTCCTTCTGGGGTTCTAAAGACATATGGTATTTTATGGTGCCAGTAGATGTGTGAGGAGGTTGCTTCATGTGCTGAAATGACAGCGTGCTGGAGCAGACTTGAGTCTGTTGGAGTGTTCCAGTTAGCACGCTCCAGCCACACTCCTCATCTTATGTATCAGCCTCCCCATGCTTCAAAATGGTGGCAGGGATGCTTTAACTAAATGAGCTTTTTACCATGAATAAAAGGTAAGACATGTAAGACACAGCGCTCAGTTCTGCAGCTGTTCCTTGTGCATGGAGTTCTCACTGGCATCAATGGGTGCTTCATGCATTGAGTGGGTGCAGGAGTGGGCCCCATGTTCTCAGGTGAGCTGGCTTGGGGCTCCTTTGTTTTTTTTAGTAACTCTATTAGGTATTACAGTGCAGACAGCATTACATAACTTACTGTAAAACTGAACAGTTGCATATTTTGGGGAAGGATCCAGTTTTAAGTGGATCCACAGCACCTACTTAAAGAGCATGAAGTTATCTTGACTCTTAATTTTTAGGTAAGGGGTAATTTTTTATAATTAAACTTTAAATGTGTTCTAATCTTAGCATACTGTAAAAGTGACATCAAAATCCTAAACAGCCTTGCACAGACAGTCTCATGCTTTCAGTGTCAGGTTGTTGGTCATAGCAACTGCATTTGATACAGTTATAAAATTAATATATAACATTAATGAGATAGACCTGAATGAGCAAAATGACATGCATGAACAAAAAGCTAAAAAAGTCAAACCTGACAACTTTGCAGAAATATTTTTATGACCAACAGTTTTAATCGCTTGTAAACTTTTAATGAATTATCATTATGGTGCCCCACCACTATTCTGAAGAACAGGTGGGTTGATACTCTGAGGGAAGAGCCATTTCGGGGGGGGGGAGGGGTGAATCAGGGTGACTGTCCTGGGTCCTGCACTTTGCGGGGCCCCACGGAGCTGGGCAGAGTGGTTGTGGCAACTCTGCCCTGCCGGCTTCAGGTCTGGCCACTTGCTATCCCTGCCCTGCCGCTGGTGCTGCCACCCGTGGCAGTGGTGGCTTCTTCACATCCAGGGCACGTGGAATTGGGGCAGGGGTTGGGGTGGGGCTCTGCATGAGCTGATTTGCCCCAGGCCCTGCACCCCTGCTTGGGTCGGCTCTGTCTGCAGGCACTTTAATTAGAGCAGTTCTCAGAGGCATGCTAATTAAAGCGCCCCACCCCCAGATCACATGTAAAAATGCCCATGGGGACTAGTGTGTTCAGAAATGCCCCTGAAAATGTATTGTTCTGGTGAGTAATTTCGGAGGGGATTGCACAGTGGTTGAATCCTAGGGTGAATGAAATAGAACACATTATATTATTTTTTATACTTTCAATCTATTTTCTGTTTTAGTTGCTGACAAATCATTATGAAAGATGCTGGAAATATTATTGTTTGCCAGGTGGATGGGGCAACTTTGGTGCAGCCTCTGAAGAAGAACTTCATTTATCCAGAAAATTGTTTTGGGGAATTTTTGATGCTCTGTCTCAAAAGGTAATTTTTATATCTATTTTTTCATGTTAACAAAGGAATAATGAGCATTTATATTAAACCTACTTAGTTGAAATGTGGTAGAATGACTGTATTAATTATACCAAAATTAATATTTAGTTATTATAAATTATTCTAAATGAATTAAGAAAAATACATAGTGAGAATTAATATGAAATTTTAACAAAGCACTGCATAGATAGGGAGAACTAATATAGTGTGTACTTTATTATGATATACTAGTGAATTGCCTGCCAAGAACGACTGGGGTGGCAGGGAGCCAGGCAGGGATGGAGCACTGCCACCCACTACCCCATGCTGCTGTTGCCTTCCAGGAGCAGAGGGGTGGGGGGGAAGCTAGCTCCTCTGTCCCCCTCTGCCAGCACCCCATACCACTGCTGCCTCCAGCACTGCTGGTCTCCCCACCTCTCCCCCTCCCCCCGGCCCTGCTCCTCGGAGGTGGTGGAGCACCACCATAATGGGGACAGAGTGGGAGGTGGGGTCACTGAGGCCACTACTGCTGGCCTCGCCCCCCTGCTCTATCCCTTCCATCATGGCGGTGCTCTGCACTCTGTTTTTTTGACTAACCAATTAAAGTGCTCCAAGAGTGTTACCGACAGACTAAGCCCTGTATTATATAAGAATTATGTAGCTAATCGTAGATGTATACCTAAAAGATCCTTAAACAGTTTAGATATAACAGTTTGTCAAGGAATATGCTCCTTTCATGATAACTATTTATTATAATCCCTTTAAAAAGCAAACTGATACACATCTTATATTAAATGGCCTTGCTAATTAAATCTACTTTTTTAATCTATGTTTTTGCTACCCTGCAATCAGGCAGAATGACATTTGCAATACTGGGAATCCTCGACAGTCTTAAAAAATGCATTGGTTAACACCAAATCTCTTAACCCAGTGAAATTATTAGTTCAGTAAACATTAATCCTTCTCCCCTCACATCTCCTAGTGTCCTACACCTCCATATTTTCTCTGTCTGACATGTTGGAAAAAAGAGGGGTGCTTTTGAATGCACCCAGAAGGTCATCAAACTCAGGCTGTTGTAGCCCAATGAGAGGAGCATTTATAATTCTTGTTCTTATAAATAAGACTTTCGTTTCAAAGAACTGGTCAATGCGTATGAATTAGTAGGCTTCTGTATTTTATATTGTGTGGTATAAATGTTAAAATATCTATTATATAGTGGTTCCAATAAATAACATCTCTTTAGGACTTTTTAACATGTTACAGGTTTTCTTTAATACTATTTAACTATCCCAGAAGTCTCATCTGTGCCTTAACTGAGCAAGAGCTGGATAACTAGATCAATTTCTCCAATAATGAGCCTGATATCCATTCACCAGTGTTGTTTTATTCCATGTTTATTTCACAGAAGTATGAACAAGAGCTATTTAAACTGGCCTTGCCTTGCTTGAGTGCAGTTGCAGGGGCTCTACCACCAGACTACATGGAATCAAATTATGTCAGTATGATGGAAAAACAATCTTCAATGGATTCAGATGGGAATTTTAACCCGCAACCTGTTGATACATCAAAGTAAGGGAATTTTTTTATAATAGCTGCTTTTACCATTAATAGACATGAAAGTTTGTAAATGAATGTTGTATTAAATAACACTCTTTCATCCATCCCCACTTAATTAGAATCATAGAAAATTAGGGTTGGAAGAGACCTCCGGAGGTCATCGCGTCCAAACTCCTGCTCAAAGAAGGACCACTCTCAACTAGATCATTTCAGCCAGGGCTTTGTTGTAATGGGCCTTAAAAACCTCCAAGGATGGAGATTTTATCACTTCTTTAGGTAACCCGATCCAGTGCTTTACCACCCTTCAAGTCAGAGAATTTTTCTTCATATCCAACCTAAACTTCCCTTGCAGAGAATTAAGACAATTACTCCTCGTTCTGTTATGTGCCACCATTGAAAACAGTCTAGCTCCATCCTCTTTGGAACCACCCTTTGGGTACTTAAAGTTTACTATCAAACAGTCGTGACACATAGGGGGTGCATGTGTACCCCCTGAGAGTGCCGATGCACCCCTGACAGGCTGCACTCGCCGCTTAGGCGATGGGTGAGGGGGGGCAGTGGGAGCACTGGTGCCCCCCCTGCAAGCACCGGCCAGGGAGTGGAGCACTATTGTGTTCCTGGAAGCAGCTGCAGCCACTCCCAGAAGTGGCTGCAGTGATCAGCTGCAGCGATTGGCCACTTCATGGTTGGCTGTGGGGGGACCCCTCCTGGCCAGTGAGATCACCCACGGGGGAATCCCCTCCTGGTCGCTGACTTCCCACTGGAGGCGGACATACCCTCCCCCCCCAACTAAGGTGGCACCACTCACCCATGCTATCAAATCCCCCCTCAGCCTTCTCTTCTGAAGACTAAATAAGCCCAGTTCCCTCACTCTTTCCTCATAACTCCATACCCCTCACCATTTTTGTTGCCCTCCACTGGACTCTGTCCAATTTATTCACATCTTTTCTGTAGTAGGGGGCCCAGAAGTGGACATAGCCCTCCCAAGATGGCCTCAACAGTGCTGGATAGAGGGGAATAATTATTTCCCTTGATCTGCAGGCAAGGCTCCTACTAATGCAGCCCAGTATGCTGTTCACTTTCTTGGCAACAAGGGCATACTGTTGACCAGGGGTGGGCAAAATGTAGCCTACCAAGCCATTCTATCTGGCCCGCAGGGCCCCTAAAACATTTAGAAAATTAATAATTATCTGCCCCTGGCTGCCTGTCATGCAGCCTTTGATGGCTTACCAAAACTCAGTAAGCGGATCTCCACCCAAAATAATTGCCCACCCCTGCTGGTGACTCATATCCAGCTTCTTGTCCACTGTAACCACCAGGTCCTTCTCTGCAGAGCTGATGCCCAGCAGTAAGCCCCCAGGCTGTAGCAGTGCATGGGATTCTTCTTTCCTAAGTGCAGGACTTTGCACTTGTCTTTGTTGAACCTCATGAGATGCCTTTTGGCCCAATTCTCCAAATTGTCTAGGTCACTCTGAACCTAGCCCTACCCTTCAGCATATCTACAACTCCCCTCTGTCTCCCCCCCAGATTGGTGTCATCTGCTAACATATAGAGGATGTGCTCCCTCAATATAAAATGGGTATTTTGTCATTTCTAAAACATGAAAGACAGCACAAATCACTGTTCCTTGGACACCCTTGTACATTTTAAGACATTTTCAGTCTGGAGATGTAGTAACCTCTTTTTTCATTTTTTATTGTTTTATAAAGTACCTACCATACTTTTGAGAACTATAAAGTAAATGGCTACGATGATAACAGTCATGAATATGTAATAGAGGCGAGATGCTAAACCCCTGTGCCTAATATTGAAAATATAAAACTCAATGATGATCTTACCTTCATGCAGCGCCTTTTTTCTTGAAAGATTCTGAAGTATTCTACTCTTGTTTTAGCTGTTTTTGTAGAGTGGGGCAACATTGTAGAAGTGGGCAGAAGGAATTTTCTCCATTAACTTATATATACACCTTGAAAAGGCAGCCAGAATCCCACTGCTCGTGTCCTTTGTTTCCATTGCTCACATACATTATATACATCAAGTGTGCTTAAGGTGCAAACTCATGACTTATGTACTACAGAGTGATTTTTCCTTCATTGAGGTGAGTGTAGGAGATGTATGGTTAGAGATCTACCAAAATTGCGATTTTGCATTTTTCACAGAAAACATGAAATCAGGCGCTTCCTGCAAAAAAACAGTGGGTGCCATGATTTTAGTAGGCTTCTTGGAAAAAACCCAATATAACAACTTACCAGCAAATAGAGAAAAGGGCAGGAAGCCCTGCAGTCTTGGAGCATAGTGGAAAGGAGCTGCTTACAGCAGGTGGCAGGGAGAGTGCAAGCAACTGCACAAGGGTCTGCGGAGCCTCAGCCCAATTCATTTTCGATGGTGGGTGCACGTGTGGGGTGGATGGTGGGAAAGGGCTGTGGTTGCACTGCCCTCAGCTCCTTCCCTGCCATCCGCCCTGAGGTGCTCATGCATCTGCTGGTGGCAATGAGCAGAGCTGGGGCTCCACAGAGCCCAGTGCAGCCACTTGCAGCCTCCCAACTGCCTGCCACAGCCAGCTTGGGCGCCGGCCCCTTCCACCAGCCGCAGAGCCTGGGCTCCTTGCAGCAGAAAATACAGAGAGCGCAAGCAGCTGCACCTTGGTCTTTGGAGACCTTGCTCTGCTTACTGCCAGTGACGGTTTTACTTGCACCTTTGGATGGATGGAAAGGAAGAGGATGGGGCTGCACTGTCTCTGGCCTTTTACCCGCCATCTACCCTGAGATGCACTTGCAGAGTTTAATTGAAGGCTTGGATTA